TGGTTAGTTATTTTCTTTATGCAGCAAAGGTTTTACATATCAAAACCCTAAGGGAATTTTCAAGTTCATGGTGGCCAATATTTCTGTTGCAAAAATAAATTGAAGGTCCAGTAAAATAAGCTTTTGTTTCCTTCACTTGGGAAAAATGGACCATCGAGGGAAAAAAATTCAAATTAAAAGTCAAAGAGAGGAAATAGAGGCAAGAGGAAGGTTATATATTTTATTTTTTTTATATGCTAAGAAGGTTAAAAACTGTGGCATCCTGCTGAGATGAAAATTGTTGTGGTATATCCCATTCTTCTGTGGTAATTGCAGCAGAATATTGGAATATCAAATGGAAGATTTCTTCTCTTAGCTTGAACAAGGCTTAGTATCATTTTAATAAAGTATGAAAGTAAAATAGTTGAAATAGTTATACTCATATAACAGGGCCAGAAAACACAGATGTTGCCAGCCTCCAAAAGAATCTGGAAAAATGGATCATCTCCACCAGCAGTCTCAAAGTGAGAGATGCTGAAAGTTGCATTTCAGCAACAAGCAGAATACCAACCCTTCTTTTCCTACATTATTTTCATTCTAGCTGCTGTATACACTCCTGCTTATAAGGAGGAGATTCAGGAATGGGCTAAAGATTTTATTCTTTCTCTTCTCCAGATACTGGTATAAGGATCTCAGATTGACAATCTCAAAAAACTGTTTACCCTGGATAGACACACAGAGAGAGAAACAGTGACAATCTAATATTGCTTAATATTAGGTAAGGGAAATAAGTCTGACCAAACAATCTGCACAGCAATTTCTATTTTTGTCCTCTCTGCTAGGATGTGAATATGTATGTGTGCACTTGATTATATTGCACTTGACTGAATGGACATTCATCTAATATAAAAACGTCTATAGATAATTCTGACCACACAGACATGTAGCCTCATGTCATGGATATTTCTGAGAAGTAAATTTCAATGTATCCAGTAGAACAACCTCAGAGTAGCCTAACTACATCTATCTTTTTAAACAAACATGTGTATGTCATTAAGAGATATTTTACAGCTCCAACTCTTTTCTAAATTTTTGAAAAGAGGGGGGAGGGGAGAGGAAAGGTTTTCCATAATAGCAAAACTTTACACAACTGAAATAAAAGTCATAAATGTGTTTATATGTCCGCATCCACATTGGAGTTTGTGACCCTAAGCAGTAAATTTTCTCTGCCTAAGCATTTTAAACAATAAATATTAGAAATCTGTTTCAGGTATGAATGACATGTAAAACATTGTAACAGTATAATTAACTTTGTTGCAAATTAAGATGCTATTGATTCTGTTGAACCAGGCATCCACATGTATTGACCTGTGGTAAATATTGATTTATGCCAAAGAAGAGATTAATATTTACCCCAAAGATCGATGCATTTTGATGTCATCTAAAATTAAAATCAATATGCATTTTGTTAGAACATTTTGAATAAGTCCAAGAAGAAATATTTATAATCATCATTTTGAAAATGAACCTCTTAACAGGGTTTCTCTTCTTATTCTTTTAGTTCTGGGATTGAAGTTAGAAGATTTATTTTCTATGACTGGAAGCTGCTTTGGTCAGGCTCCCAACCATCTCAGAGCCAAACATTCCAAAACAATTGTTTTCCATTCCTGCTTGCCATCCCCAAAGCATTTGGAGGGAGGACATGGACAAAGAGTAAATGTATTTAGTTTTCCTTAGCCAATTCAGAAACCACAAATATTCTCCCCAGCCAAAATCTGGAAGATATGTTCAAAGGGATGAAATAAGAAGCACTTGAACTCAATCTTTGTAAAGGCAATGAATTGATGAGAAAGGCTTGACTCATAATTTATGGTGGTATTTTTGTTTGATAAGAAACATGGCCTTAAATTACTGAAAGAAAAGGGGTGGCATATTTTTTTAGCACTCTAGATTTAAAGGGGCAACTCCAGTGCATGCAGAGTGGCATGTGAAATCCCTCAGTCTTGAGAGCATTTCAATTAACATTGAGGCAGAAGAAGCCTTCTGTTTTTAAGCACTGGCTCAGAGAGATTTGAGACTATGAAAATTGTTTCACTGAGAGAATTCAAGGTGATAAAGCAAATCATATTTATATAACTGTAGTGGGGAAAAAATCTACTTTGCTTTGGAGTGGCCTACAGCAGACCGTGCAACTGGTCTTTTATGTCTCCGAAGTTTATTCTTTGCTAGTTGGTTTACAAACTGTATAGTGAAAGGATCACGATTTGGATTAGGATCACAGCATTTGAAGGTTTAGCTTTCCTCTAGTTTTCTTCATTTCAGAAATCCATCCTCATGTACAAAAGATTTTTAAGACCAAAAATAATTGCCATGTGTTTACATTATTGGAAAACACATGCAGAATAAGTTAAGTGCTGGTGCATGGCAATGGAGAGTGAAATAATGCAAAATTCATATTTGTACAAAATATGAAGGGTTGACTTGTGCAGGTCTAATTATCATTGCAATTAAATGACTCACCACTGGGGCAGTGTTAGCACTTTATGAATTATGATTGGATGCACCCAGGAAATAGCCCAATTCCACTATGCCAGAGAGCAAGACATGATACAGTAAATTAGACTGGCAATATCTTTATAGTCCAATGAGATATTCTAGAGTGAACAGAGTCAGAGATAGTTAAAATTGTCTATTGTCTCAATTTTAAGGTGAGAGAGTAGCACTCTTACTCTATACAAAACTCATAATGTCTAACCAAGACAGTTTAAATATTATTTGTATAAGAGTTAAGCCAGAATGGTGTAGAAAATGGAAAACTGGACTGAGATAGGATAATGTAACAAGTAACTCTATCCTCAGGCATGGAAACTCACTAGGGTAGCTTTGAGGCACTCATCTTCTCTTAACCCAAACTACCTGTATGGCTGTGGGCAGAAGAAAATATTGATAGCCTCCAGGTTTCTGAGCACCTACAGAAAAGATAGGATAAAAAAATTACAATGTAATATTCTCCACAAAACCTTGCACATTCAACACAGTTCAAGAATTTTGAAATAACTTTACAAATCCTAAGAGTGAGGGAAGAAAAGGGTAGCAGGAATACAAATTTATTTCTACTCATATTTCCTTCTTACTTGTGGTAGTGTATAAAATATATGCTTTGGTTGGTTGCCTAGTCAGCCACCTATCAAGTCTTTCTCAAAGACCTGGGGTAGCAGATGTTGTTTTGCAACTGAATGATGGTAATTTTGTCAATATTGATGGCATTGGTGGTGCTCCAGATGTTTTGGGATTGCACCAAGGTACCTATTAATAGTACTATTTTTGTACTGATACTATCTTTGCTTTCTTTTGCCTCAGTCATTCTACTTCTTTTTCCAGATCTTTGTATTTTGTGTTTTTTTCCCAGTTCTTTCTCTTTTATCTCCAGACTTTTTTGTGTTTTTTAATCAATAGGGTTTTTTTAATCAACAGTTATTATATTTGGAGTGTTATGCACCAGGTTCTTGTCTGTTTGACCTCTAAAGTCCCAAAGCATTTGAGAACTTTTAGAACCCCTGTTCATTTTCTCTTTTTGTCTATTAGGTGGTCCCACCAGGTCTTGCTTGCAGGCAAATTGTATTTCCTGCAGAAATTCCAAAGCACCATTGTTGCTATTTTTTCATACAATCCATATGAAGTCTATGCAATCTTCTTGTCTATGGAGGTTCTCAGTCATCCAGGTCATAGTGTCCCAAAGGTGTCCTCAGGGTCACCTGAGTAGTGCAAATGTATGTGGAGCCTTCTTGACTGCAGGATATTTTCTGCCCTGTGTCCCTTCACTGTTGCAGACAGGCACAGGCTGTTGGGGATGAGTCTGTGTTCTCTGCATCTCAAACTGAAGCACAAAATGCACTACTCAGGTCACCCTGAGGACATAGGTAAACCTCCAAATGGCCTCAACAACTCTCTAAAAGAATGCAAATGACCAGCTGTCTTCAAGGAATATAAATCCTTCTATTCCCCACCATCCAGTCAGAGCTGAAGAAGCTTCTTGGATGAGAAGCGAAACATCTTCAAAGAAAAACAAGAAAGTCCAGTTGCCTCCTAAAAAAGCACCTTTGGGATGTGATCTTCTTGCAGCAATTATTATTTTGTGTGACTTGTCTGATTTGATAGCAGAAATATATCAGGCTGAAGTAAGACAAAACAAATAGAAATTCAAGTACTACAGATATTATCCATCTCCCTGAAACCTTTTTATGATACAGCCAATTACAGGCATTTTAGACAAGAATGTCATAGAACATCAAAAAAGATGTTAGTCAGTAGTACATTTCTATGCAACAAACTAGGCAAATGTATTGTTCTGTTATTTTATTAAGTGGAAATATACCGAGAGCACAGGACACCTGAAACTAGTAAAAATGGCTCTTCATAAGAATTATCTGAATTAAAGGGACAGACAGTAACATAGCCTCAAAGCAAGAAACTATATTGTTGTATAAAGTGCCACATAAGGTGTTAGTGCTGTATAAGAAAATGTAATCAAAAATGAATTTGTTTCCTAATACAAATATTAACTCCCATTCCCTGCTAAACATCTATGATGCATAGCAGCTTCACTCAGACTCGCCATCAAAAAAATGTAAACATAAATGAGAAAGTTGTTCCAGTATTAGGGAACATGAATGCAAAGAGGTAAATATAGCTATTGTTTTCTAGTCTCTCACATTTAAGCACAACCTTCTCTCAGATCAGCATTTGATCAATATGGCCTATGGTTATGACTTTGCAATAAGATAATCAACTATTACATTGTCTGATTTCTGTCTCCAGCAGAAGGCAGAGATGTATGGCTTTGTCATGATAAATGATTGCTATTAATAATTGCTTAATTTCAGGGCTTTTTTTCAGCCGGAACG